GTGTGTGTGTGTGTGTGTGTGTGTGTGTGTGTGTGTGTGTGTGTGTGTGTGTGAGAGAGAGAGAGAGAGAGAGAGTATTCCAGCCATGCACGCAGAGAGATAAAGAGAGGCTACTTCCATCGACAGGATGAGCAAAATCGGAATGAATAATATTCCAGTAGAATATGGAAATATACACTGCTTTCCAGCCATGCGCGTAGAGAGATAGAGAGAGGCTACTTCCATCCATAGGATGAGCAAAATCGGAATGAATCTTCTGCTAGAACATGGAAATATACACTGCCAGTTTTGTTTTTTTTCTTCTCCTTTTTTTTTTTTTTTTGTGTGTGTGTGAGAGAGAGAGAGAGATAGAGAGAGACACAGAGAGAGGGAGAGAGAACAGGTAAGTCTCCAACCTCGTGGCTGGCCTCACGCTACTTCCATCGATAGGATGAGCAAAATCGAATGAATCTTCCGCTAGAACATGGAATGTACACTCGATTGGCTGATTCAACTTGATTGATTGATTGATTAATTGAAAAACAAAAACAAAAAAGAAGAATGGACTGATCTTTTTCTTTTTGAGATCGATCAATCAACCAATCAACCCCCCCCGCACCCCTTTTGAAACGGTTTTCACCTTTTAGCAGTAGCGAATGCAGATCCCAGGGCTCGATCCCTAGTTCTCACCTTACATGTGTACAGTATCTGTGTCGACCCCGAGTGTTTGAACCCATGACCTGTGTTTGGACAGTTGTTGTTGTCTGTCGTAGGTCTGTGTAGTGGTAGGGGTTCGATCTGTAGGTCTGTCGAGTAGGAGTCACAGCCCTGTAGAGGTCGTAGCTGCAGGGATCCTGAAAGGTCAAGGTCGTAGCTGCTACAGTCCTGAGAGGTCAAGGTCGTAGCTGCTACAGTACCCGAAAGGCCAAGTCTACAGACTTCCGGAAGGTCCCGGAAGTGGCCTTTCGAAGTGAGCTCACGTTTAGGCAGAGGCAAGTGGGCAAGTGGTGGAGCCAACCTCAGTACGATGGCAGTGAGACTGCAGTGAGTCTGCGGTGCAAACCCATGCAGTCAGCGGTACCGGTCCAGTCAGTCCCAGTCCAGTCCAGCAAGTACCATGAGGGACTGTGTGCACCATGGGCCGATGGAAAAGGGCAGACCAGCGAGTTACAGAAGTATAAATCAAGAGGCAGCGCCCAGCCAATCATTCATTCCTGCGTAAGCCATGCGGAAGCACTGCCATAGCGACTTGTGCAAGGTGGTCTGCAGTGAGCCCGAGGACGAAGTGTGCGAGAAGGAGGTTAGCCATGGCGATAGAGTAGCAGCGGCCATAGCCGCCATAGCTGTAGGTGTGTGCGGGTGTGTGCAAGTGTACAGGGTGTTAAGTGTGGGATATCCAGGGTGGTCCTGTGTGCGAACAGCAGTGTTGAGTAAGTGACGAACAGAGAGATGTACAGGCGGTGTGCCGCCATAGCCGTTTGAAGTGAACTTGTATCTGAGCTGCGTTCTTGGTACTATATCTCTGAGTTCTGAGTGGGCGCTTGACGCCAGTTTGCTGCGCAACCTGTTTGCATACATGTAAAGTGTGAATGAAAGCGAGTCTGATTGCACTTTCCTCCCTTCCCTCCTACCACTTTCCCTACCCGCCTAACCCCCTCCCGCTCCTCCTCCCGCCCCTCCTCCTTCTCCTGCTCCTTCTCACTCCTCTATATCTTCTGGCGCCACGATCTCCCTCACCGATCATGCACTTTGCTCACGGACGCTGCGCTGCTGTTGGCTCCTTCTACCGCTCCCCCTCCTGCTGCCCCCTCCCCGTTTCCCCTCACGCTTTTTCTCCAGTTCCTCCTCCTCCTCCTCCTCCCGCTCCTCCTCATCCCGCCCCTTCTCCCACTCCTCCCGCTCCTCCCACTCCTCCCGCTCCTCCTCCACCAAACAAAGTCACAAAGATCTCCCTACCCGCCTCCCGCGCATTCGTTAACCCCCTCCTCGTTTCCCCTCCTGCTCCTCCTCCCACTCCTCCCGCTCCTCCAGCCTCACCTCCTCCCGCGCCTCCTCCCGTGCCTCCTCCGCTCCTTCCCATCTCCCCTCCCGCTCCTCCTAACCTCCTCCCTGTTTCCCCTCCCGCTCCTCCTCCCGCTCCTTCTCCCGCTCCTTCTCACACTCCTCCTCCGCCCCTTCCCGTTTCCCCTCCCGCTCCTCCTCCCGCTCCTCCCGCTCCTCCTCCCGCTCCTCCTCCCGCTCCTCCTCTCGCTCCTCCTCCGCCAAACAACATGACCAAGATCCTGCCATAGCTTCTCCTAAGGAAAAAAAAAAAAGAAGAAAGGCCCGCCACG